CCTGCTTGAGTTCTGCACACAAGCTGGAAGATGAGCTTTTAAAGCTCACATCTCGTCGGCAGGAGGTAGTGTCTTCGGAAAAAGACAACTCCAAATTCTTCTGAAGGAAGGGATTTTGGAAAGTTCTATGAAAAGACTTGAATATTTAGTTGAATAATTTATATGGTGAAAGCTTGAGAGCTGGCGCTGACACAGACTCAGTGCAGATACGCACTCGCAGACACACTCACAATATGATGGCGGTCATCCACGAGGTCAGTGGTGATTCATGGGCAGGTTAGATGTGGTCAGGGAGAGTGCAGGGTAGAGGATTTATATGGGGAGCTTAGCGCCTTCAAACACTTGTTTTTTAAAAGCTCAATTTCTCCACAGCGTTAAACGGATCTCTTCCTGGTGAGAAATGAGAACATTAACTGGGACACGGACATGGTGCACTCTGCACGGCCCTGCCGAGCCCTCTGAGCTGTAACATTTCACATCTGAGCTGCACTCCTTACAAGCTCCCCTGACACCCCGATGCATCATGGGAGGGCTGTAGGGGAGGTTTGGTCAGGGCAAAGCGCGATGTGTCTCAAAACCTGACAACAGCTGCGGGCGTTTCCATTAAGAACAACACAACTCAGTGTTACAACTGCACCTTAAGGTGCACGAGGGGTCTTACTCTACAGGACCTCATTCTTTTTTTTTTTTGTTTTCTCACCTCCAGAGGTGAGAAGGAGGAATGAGGAAGGGAAAGAAAACAGCCATGGCAGCAGCTTTTGACAAATACATCATGAGGTGGCAGAAATGGCCAGTAGGTGCGATCTGTTGTGTGCTATTTTCTATTTTCTTTTTTTTTTCTTTTTTTTGTACATGTACGTTTTATTTTATAGCGTGACTGCCAGGCACCAGTTTAGTCTGTTAGCTTTCCACAAATGCCTTAAGGCACTGCTGACTAAACAAACCATCACCGAACCACAACACATCTACTCCCACTCCTGCTCCCAGATTCCCTTATCTTGCCTCTGCACCCACATCACCCCAGTTACACTGATGCGTTATTACATGTCACATGTGTTCTTTGCACACATATGCACAGCCTGTGATCTGTACTGGACATTTTCTGAGCTTTACCTCATGTGTATATATATTTATATATATGAGGAAACGAAAGGTCACACTGTGTTAGATAAGTCCTTGAGTGGGTGAAAACACACGTACATGAAATGTGTGGGCGGCAGTGTGTGTGTGTTGGGGGGGGGAGGGGGTTAAATGAGTGTGGTGCAGGTGACAGAAATACTGCCTTTACTCACTAATTAGCACCAACTGCATCTACTTTGCTGTTCTTTTGACTGGCGATTAGCTACTGTCAGTGACTCTTAACACTCCCAACAGATTGGTATTACGTGGATTGGCATGACATGACTGTGCTGTTGAACTGGTGGCATTAGTACACACCAGTGAAGGGGACATTAGACGGGTGCCATGTCTTGCAAAGCAGAAATGTAAAATAGTTTGGCTGTGGTTCAGCTGCAGGAGGAAAGGCTGACCCAAAACATCTTTATCTGGCACATGGCACACAGTTACCCTCGGTCAAGAGAGGTTTTTACAATATTGTTTTTAGATTTGCATTTATTTCAGGAATATTAATCAAACTATATTATTCAAGATTTGTAAAGAACAATGGAAGAATGAGATTTGGAGTAAGTCAAAGTTAAAAATATACGTCCAAATCAAAGGATAGTACTACATGGACGTACAACTTAACATAAAGAGAGGGCACACTTCAATGGCTGGTATTGTTTTCACCTCACCTTCACAGAATGTGGTCCCAGTGGCCAGAGGCAACATGAGGCATGAGGCTCAGCACCACTGACACTCCTCACTTCACTCTGCCAGCAATAGTGTTTGTGCCTGAATTTGGCTGGGTCTGGGGGCAGGACTCAACCATGTAAAGTAAAAAGGTGGTGGAGGGGGGGTATATAGGCTCTCTGGATGTTTAATTTTTGTCAAAAAAAAGCAAAGATAAATACACCATAAGTTTTATCAGTACATTGTAAATAAACTCTTCTATTAATTATGACAGATAAATGAATGAATAATTAGTTAATGTTCTATTGTTCCTTTAGAATCAAGTTTTTTCCCTCATACGGCACCGCTGCTGGCACCCATTGTAGCTGGAACTACCTCAGAGGCTGTTTTGAGTACTGTGCTTGGGGTTTATATGTCTGTCTGTCTGTGAACAGATTTTGTCACTGCATCAGCGTCACAACCTTGCAAGATGCAGTCATGAAACTTTACAGGTGCATTTAAGATAGAAATGAAGGCCGAGTTCAAAGATGGATGTGGCCTGAGCAAGGGTGGCGTGGAGTAGGGAAGGGGCAATCGCTCCCTCAAGTTAAAGGCAAGGGTAAAGTGATTTCATTGCAAGGTGGTCTCTGATTTTATTTCGCTTTCCTTGGACTTGGATGTCTACGGGTAATATGCTGGGTTGGCTCTTTGATGTAGAGATTTTTGTCTGGTTTGGGGGGGGGCACCCAGTGGCTTAGTGGGTAGAATGGGCATCCCATGTGCAAATGTGGTGCCCCTACTGCAGCAGCTGCAGGTTCAACTCCAGCCTCTGGCCCCTCTCTGCATGTCACCTCCCATGAAAATGTACATTACTTTAGATTTAGCATGTGAGCAACTGACTGTACAGTTAGCACTGCCCCACAATGCTTTTCACCCAATTTTTAGTAATGCATGTCCCCAATACAGCTAATATTTGAAAACCTACAGTACAGGCCAAAAGTTTGGACACACCTTCTCATTCAATGTGTTTTCTTTATTTTCATGACTATTTACATTGTAGATTCTCACTGAAGGCATCAAAACTATGAATGAACACATTTGGAGTTATGTACTTAACAAAAAAAGGTGAAATAACTGAAAACATGTTTTATATTCTAGTTTCTTCAAAATAGTCACCCTTTGCTCTGATTACTGCTTTGCACACTCTTGGCATTCTCTCTATGAGCTTCAAGAGGTAGTCACCTGAAATGGTTTCCACTTCACAGGTGTGCCTTATCAGGGTTAATTAGTGGAATTTCTTGCTTTATCAATGGGGTTGGGACCATCAGTTGTGTTGTGCAGAAGTCAGGTTAATACACAGCCGACAGCCCTATTGGACAACTGTTAAAATTCATATTATGGCAAGAACCAATCAGCTAACTAAAGAAAAACGAGTGGCCATCATTACTTTAAGAAATGAAGGTCAGTCAGTCCAGAAAATTGCAAAAACTTTAAATGTGTCCCCAAGTGGAGTCGCAAAAACCATCAAGCGCTACAACGAAACTGGCACACATGAGGACCGACCCAGGAAAGGAAGACCAAGAGTCACCTCTGCTTCTGAGGATAAGTTCATCCGAGTCACCAGCCTCAGAAATCGCAAGTTAACAGCAACTCAGATCAGAGACCAGATGAATGCCACACAGAGTTCTAGCAGCAGACCCATCTCTAGAACAACTGTTAAGAGGAGACTGCGCGAATCAGGCCTTCATGGTCAAATAGCTGCTAGGAAACCACTGCTAAGGAGAGGCAACAAGCAGAAGAGATTTGTTTGGGCCAAGAAACACAGGAAATGGACATTAGACCAGTGGAAATCTGTGCTTTGGTCTGATGAGTCCAAATTTGAGATCTTTGTTTCCAACCGCCGTGTCTTTGTGAGACGCAGAAAAGGTGAACGGATGGATTCCACATGCCTGGTTCCCACTGTGAAGCATGGAGGAGGAGGTGTGATGGTGTGGGGGTGTTTTGCTGGTGACACTGTTGGGGATTTATTCAAAATTGAAGGCACACTGAACCAGCATGGCTACCACAGCATCCTGCAGCGACATGCCATCCCATCCGGTTTGCGTTTAGTTGGACGATCATTTATTTTTCAACAGGACAATGACCCCAAACACACCTCCAGGCTGTGTAAGGGCTATTTGACCAAGAAGGAGAGTGATGGAGTGCTGCGGCAGATGACCTGGCCTCCACAGTCACCGGACCTGAACCCAATCCAGATGGTTTGGGGTGAGCTGGACCGCAGAGTGAAGGCAAAGGGGCCAACAAGTGCTAAACACCTCTGGGAACTCCTTCAAGACTGTTGGAAAACCATTTCAGGTGACTACCTCTTGAAGCTCATTGAGAGAATGCCAAGAGTGTGCAAAGCAGTAATCAGAGCAAAGGGTGTCTGTTTTGAAGAAACTAGAATATAAAACATGTTTTCAGTTATTTCACCTTTTTTTGTTAAGTACATAACTCCACATGTGTTCATTCATAGTTTTGATGCCTTCAGTGAGAATCTACAATGTAAATAGTCATGAAAATAAAGAAAACGCATTGAATGAGAAGGTGTGTCCAAACTTTTGGCCTGTACTGTATATTGTTATTTCGGATTTTTCTTTCTCTTATTTGCAAATTTACAGCAGTTATGATCATATTTTGCTTCTTTTGGGGCAATGGTGGTAATATTAGAGCACCACCAAGGACCAGGGACTGCCTATATTCCGAGTGGACCTACAAAATTTGCTTGTAACCTGCACAGTAATAACAGTCACTTTTAAGATCATATTCAGTACCAAGTCATTGAAAAAAACAAATTAAAGTAGACCTGACTGCATCTGCGATTAAAATGTTTCCACAGGGCTTACAATATGCCTCAGTAATCCAGCAAATTAGTTAGAGTGCCCTTTCTTAACCAGGAGACCTTGGTTCATGCTTGCTATTGGGAAGTGTCTGCCCTGTTGATGTGACCTGTGTCCTTGAGGAAATGTAGCATATCTATCAGCTCCAACTGACCCCAACCTCTGACCTCCCTGGAGGGGTAAACAAACACATTTTCCCACATAATGTCTGAAGAAGCTACATGCAAGCAACAGGGGGATATTAAAAAAAAAAAAAAAATCATCATTCAAAAGAAGTAGTGAGAGAGAGAGAGAGAGAGAGAGAGAGAGAGAGAGAGAGAGAGAGAGAGAGAGAAAAGGGCTACTTCTCACCAGCGGATGTGTGAACTCAGGGGCATGGTCGTTCTTGTCTGTGATGGTAATGGTAGCTGTGGCTGTTCCTGTTAGGCCCACCTCACTTCCTGCCATGTCCTTGGCCACAATCTCTAACTCGTATGTTGTGGTCGGCAGTGTCTGGGGAATAAACACACAGCAAGTCAGAGTTCAAAAGATGAAATATACAGTGTGAACACAGGGCCGAAATATATATTTATGGCCTAAAGAAAGAAAGAACAGTGCTGTAAAATCTGGACAGAAAGAAACAAGGAGATTAATGGAGAAAGTAATACTTTATAGGAAGGCCAGCAGGGAGAAAACAGCAGAAAAAAAAGTTATAAGCACAAAGGAAGCGCAAGTACAATATTTTAGAAAGATGAAAGACAAAATCAAGGTCATACAGTAATAGCTTCTGCATCAGGGGGGACTCATTCATACACACATGCACACACTTTGTGTGTGGTGATAATCTTCAGATAATCTTTTTGAGAGTCGAATCATTGAAAATCATTACTAGATGAATGATTAGCCATGTGAGTGATTAAATTAATCCACCTAAAGCAAAAGTTAACGCTTATCGCCATGTTCTACATTGCTGTAAGACCCTCTGACAAAGCTTGAAAGCTCTTCTAATAGTCCACGAGAGGCTCGGATCTACCATCAAATCGACTGGATAATGGCTGGAAAAAAATCATCATAGTATAAAAATGCACCCTCATGCTCACGTACCAGTGTGAAAAGCTCCAGTAAACACTCGTGACATCTCTAGGGAAGGGTCAGGAATCCACATTTTGATATTCATACATGTAAGAACTGATAGGGCGGTAAAAGAGAGAGGAAAAATGGTCCCTAAAGCTATGCAATATGGGATCAAAGTATAAGCATACTATGCACGGTTTACGCTCTTCCATTTTAAAGATTCCCCAGTGGCTCAGAGCTGGTTTTTACACACATTTTCCACAATGCTTTGGGGCATCGAAGATCAAGAGTTCTGGGCCCTGCCTGAAAAGACAAACTATTTTCCTCGGCGCAATCTGTAAAATCAGAGCGATCGTTCAGGGATTTAGAGATTTCGTGGCCTTTAAAAGCTTTCAGAATCTTCACACCTTTTTTTAGTTAGTTTTGTTGTTGATTTGATGTTGGAGATGAAGGAGTGAGGATTAAAAAAAAAAACAAAACTGAACCCGTGTCATTCACACTTACAACACAAATTAAGTCTGATGATTCTACATTCCTACACAAGCCAGGGAGAGGGATCCGTCCTTGATTACAGAGTAACTCTCCTGAAGCACAAACCCCCAAATTAGATATGTAATTCAGTTACTGGCCTGGCAGCCTCTGTAATCTATATAACAACTGAAGAAATATAGCTCATACATATACAGTGAGGCTTTCATAATGTTCATAACAGGGATAATCATTTGTTGCCATAATTCATGCCTAATAGAAATGTTGACTCTGATGTATAAATAACAGGAGGTAGGGGCTGGTAAAGCCAACATTTATTTATCCGCTGCAGTGTTTTTCTCCCTACTGGGGGTGTTAACTGTCACATGCTTAATAAACTTCATCCATCTGTCTCACTGAAAATGCTGCTGGAGCTCTCTCCTGCACTGTAGATTCACCTCGGAGTGCATGTATGCTCAACCCCCGGTACAAAACACGGAGGAGCAAGATGCACAGTAACACAGTGGAATACACACTTACACTCATGAAGAAAAAAAAACACAAAACAGTGCCGTTTGATGTTTTAAATTTAAAAAGAAATCACCCAAAAACCTTATTTTATGGAACAGATAATGACAGCTATTCCATCAGTTTTGCTCTTGGTTCTCCTTGTTTTGTTTGTCAGACAGGCTTTTCATGAGGCCTCTGTGTAACACACTAACTAAACCGCCTGTAGGAGGGCATTTATGGGCCAGCTGATGGCCACTAAGGTACTGCTCCAGCTGAGCCTCTTTTACAGTGCAGTTACATTAGACAACTGTTCATCCTCCTTGTAAAAATGTTTTGTTAGCTAGTGAAAGATTCATTTCAATTTCGCGTAATTTTCACAACATTACACGGTTGTATTTAAGCAGCAGCAACAGTAGTGAAATAGTACTAGTGACGTGATTTTATGTTTATTTTTATGCTTTCATTCATGCCAGCTCATGGTTGGCATGAATAAAAGCCAGTTTGTAATTGTTTTGAATATTCATCCCCTTAAATTGCATTTACATTTATTACACACACTCTGACTACCCTAAACCCACCACTGTGTTTACATCGTTTTCTCTGCCTCATCACGTCCCCGATCTTTACACTCGCAGACAGTCAACCTGATTATTTTTGATGATATTGTTTACCGACAAAGAGCTGTGACCCAACATCCCCTCACGTTGTACACAAATCCCCCGCTCTGCTCAGTGTCAACCTGAGCAGCAGCGGCAGCGGTTGTCAGCGTGCATGTGTGCGTTCTACTTTTCCCTCATCATAGATAGTGCTCTAATCAATTTCATCTGAGGCAGGCAGGGGGAGATCAAAGATCAATGGTTAGACACCTTGAGGCTTGTTTTAATTATCACAGAACTTAGACGCAGTGATAAACTATTCACTGAAATGAATGATATTGATGATGATATTGATATTGAGGTCAGGAGCGGCATGATGTATGGAAGGTTTGGGGTAAAAATCTTGACTGTACAGACCAATTTTTTTATTTTTAAAACCAAAAAGCTCAAGAGTGTACCTCTGAATGGAAAATGGATTAGGTCCTTTCATCATTTACAGAGGACCTAGCATGGTAGGTGACTTGCATCGATACATAAAATCCCTTAAACACCAAATGGACTCAAAGGGGGAACAATTTGGATGCTCTTTTAACTGTCTGATTTTATTTACAGACCACTTTATATACAGTGGGAATGACCAGCCGAGAGGCGTGCCACCTCCTGTCGTAAACTCCATCCTTTCAAGCAGCTGCTCCAGGGGAGATTGTGGAAAGAGCGAGACAATAAACAGGTGTTTCTATCAATAGTTTGTCACACATAGTGGGTGACAGGGGCGTCCCTCACAACCAGCTCCTGCTCCATCAAACATTGTGCAGGCAGATGGTGCTCCATGGACCTGTGAGTTTATTAAACCCATGCACACAACCACGCGTGAATGCACGCACACACGCTGACTCTAAAACACACGCACACACCTGCACACAGACGTACACTTTTGCCCTCCAGCTGGAGAAGAGAAGGGCTCTGGAATACCTGCAGTCTCAGTGGTGTCTAAACACATTGAGCGTGGCCTCCTCTGGCGACTGACAACGTCTTAATGAGTATTTCCTGAGTCTCAACTCAATTATAAACTCCCTGGCAGTACCTGGCCAAGAGAAGATGTTCAAATTCACTGGAGATACAGAGTTACAGCGACGGGGAATTTTCCCTCCAGGTGTCAGAAAACTTCTTCTGGCATAGTGTTGATTGAGATACTCCTCTCAGTCAGCCCTTTCATTTTTTAGCTCCTTGTTAATTTGTCTGGAAACACTTGATTAAACTTTAGTGAGCAGCAATAGTGTTATAGTCAATGGAAAAAGTTACTTTTGGCCATTTCTCCCCTGAGCTTAAGTAGACAAATCAAATGAATGCCAATAATTGTAATGCTTTGGTGGCCCACAGTAATATTCCCTCTATATGAATCTATTTTGTATCTTTCCATTCTGTACTTGCTCTCATAAACTGTTTGCACATTTCCTAGTATTCCTATTTTGAAAGGCTGCAATCATATGACGAATGCGCTGGCCGAAGCAAAAAAGTAAGCAGTCCTCATAAGGAGGTAGGTTGGGGTGATGGATTGATCACAAAACACAGGACTTTCCCACACGAGACTGGTGTCCAAAACCGTGTGAACTTTAAATGAGCTTTGAGTCATTTTAAAGTACATCATGAACATGTTTCTTTTCCTAAACCCAACCACAGTAACTTGCATATTGCCTTAAATCAACCTCCATAACTTTACGTTAATAACATAACTTTATATCAAGTACGTAACATCATTTGTAGGGTGCTAATTCGTAGGATATCATACGAACCATTGCGTTTGCTTTTCCTAGGGTAACACACAAACTGTTGCATGAGGATACATTCCACTCTCACGTGGCTCCCATCATTCCTCCCTTGTTACTACTCCAACAGGAATCAACATTATCATTTGATAATCAACCAAATTGTGATTATGGTCATTTTGGTTTGAAGCAAGCTGTAATGGATTTGGAGCAAGCAAGGAGCAAGCAAGATGGCCGCAGGCAAGCTCTGCGCGCTGACAGCTCTTTTAGTATATGGTATGATTTTAAAACTTTTAGATACTGGTCCATTTTTAAAACACGACAGAACTGAGCAAAGCGTACACAACACACTGGGCCAATTTGCAAACTTAAAAAAACACCCTGGGAGACCCAACGTTACCAAACATTTTGGATATGGTAACAGCATACTGCTTGACACCTTTATCTATCCCTCCTGGTTCAACGCAACCAAAAAACGAAATATCACCACAACAAAAAGCCAATGAAGCGACAAACTCTCCGGAGATGTCCACCAATGCCCTGGCCCTATGACCGCCAACACTGCCGACACAGACACAAACGCGGAAGAAGCCTTCACCATCGGCAAAGAAAGCAACACAATCAGCTTACAGGTACGCATGATTAACAGTGAATTTGCACATGAGCATGTCCACCAACCTAATCCTGCTGCTGCCGTCTGTTGTCCGAGTATTGAGGAGGAAGAACCGGTGACGCTACAGCGACCCGATGACACACCTGGCCAGCCATGGACTCCGTCAATGGAGAACGCCAGCCGGCTCGGAGGTCCCCCTGCTCCTGGCGCTTCTCAGAGGCCACAAGGCGAGCATACGAGACTTGACAGCATCTTGGAAACTTCTCCCAGCTCCGAAGATGGCTCCCAGGTGGTGATGAACATGAATCCCATCTATCATAATATATCTCATGCCAATGTTGGTGAGTGCTGTCCAGTTGCACCACATTCTTCCGATTCCACTGGTCATTGTTACCGTCCGTCACAGAAAATCGGTCCGACAAGCAACCTGGACACTAACGTTGGGCCTGGCGGTTCCGACGATAACGCAGAACGTTCAATTCCCAG